TAAGCACTTAGTACAAAGTATTAGTATTAAATTATTGCCTATGGCTCTCTAGAAGCAAAGCTGGCCCTGATGCATGACTTCAACAAGACCTTACGGATCCCCCATCCAGCTTCCCTTGGCTCGCTCTAATTCTGGGAAGCATTACAAGCAATTATTGTGGTGAACATGGACATGTGGAGAACTGACAACACACACTTTTTCCAGGCTCAGTGTCCAACAGACACATTTCCAGGTTTTGTGGCAACTGAGTTGAACTAACAGTGCCAATGGTAACGGTACGTTTTTTTTGGGGGGGGGAATGTTTTAACTTTAGGAACCCTGAATTTGGGGGATTTTTTGTGTGTGTGAAGACTCCGTTGTCCCTCCTTTCTCTGTGCATTAAAAGATCCGGCCATTATTGCTGCCCCCCCCCTGCCCACATTACAAGCAAAGTTGTTTCTGTATATTTAGACATTCCATGTTTGCCATCTGCTTTCATTGGTTTGGCAGAAAGAAAGTCACATCCAGATTGTAATGTAGATACAGTTCCCGTTAGCGGCTTCTTTTACCTGTTTGTATAGCAATTCGAAGTGAGATCAAAAGGTTGCAAAATAAAAGAAAAAGAACCCCCAGGGTCCAGAGAGTCTATTAAAAATAATAAAAAATAAAAAGCTGCTCAGAAAAGCACACAAATCTTATCCTTGATGCTTCGGCGCTCAAGTATTTACGCCAGGGATTTAGACCCTTCACTTGTGGTTTTGGCAACAGCTTCACACAAATGTTTTGCCCTGGTAGTCTCTTAGCCATTTAAGATAAATGACAAAATCAAATTCAGTCCGTGCAGACTGGAGTGCTGGATGCTTTGCCAAGAATGAAGTACCCCATTGGACTCACATGTATAGCTATCAGATCAACATGCTAGCTGTAGCTTTCAAACTAGGATGTCTGAGATGCTGAAGAAACCTTAGTGGAGGAAAATACTGTTTTGTAATGTTGTTCAGTTATGGAGGGTTTTAATTCCCTAATGCCTGCATAATTGGGGGGGGGAGTCTTTGTACAGAGTGGTCACTGTTCAAAACTAGTATTTACCAAACAATGATTTGTTCTCAGTATGATGTGTCCAAACAGAAGGAGACAATTGTGGCAAACTCTTGGTGAATTATGCTTAGTGAATTATACACCAGAGAATCCTTATCCTAACAGGAAGCTGGAAGGAAAAAAAGTATTGGGCAGGATTCCACAAATGAGGACTTCCAGTTGCACAATGGTGCGTTCCACTTCTCCCACTGCACACTCCCCAAAATTTGCTTGGGGTGGTTGGGAGAATCCCTGGAATAACATGGATGTAGGGTGTGTGGGGGGGTCATTATGTCTGTCAAGTTGAAATGCTTGGCCTCAGCAAATGAGTGCCTTAGAGTCATGTTGAATTCCTCCCGTTGTGTTGAAGATGGATATGGGTCTTGTTCTAAATGACTTAGATTCCACAGTCTCTCCTTCCACATCCCTTTGTGACTCAACAATGCCCTTGGTTGGTGTGGCAAATAGGAATAGTTTGTATGCTCAGAGAGGCATTTTTTACTGTATGCACCCTACTCCTAGCTTTGTTGTGCTCCTAAGAAAATTCCAAAATGTATGCCTAGATGTCTTCTGGATATCCTGGCCTAGGCTTGTCTTTCATTTCAGTATTTGGTAGTTGTGTGCAGTTGTTCCGGCTGCATTCTTAAATGCCATTTATCTATATATCTTGTATACATGTATCATTGTTAATTTTTCAAGTCGTTGTCTGCCTTGAGCTCTGTTACTGTAGAGATCTGACTAAAATAAGCATGCCAGCCTGTTTTAAGACTTGTAATCTTACCGCAGGAGCTGCTTTTGTTTATTAGCTACCTCAATTCAAAGGCGCTTCAAGTAAACGTCGGCGTTAAATAAAGATATAACTGGAGCCACAGTTATTGAGAATCTGGATGCCGCAGCCCGACTGAGTTCTGATGAGTACTGACTGAAGGTTAACTTCACAAGATACACACCTTGTGTACACATTTCTATGCTTTTATTTAATTGCTTAAGTCGTAGCGCTGCTGCCAAGAGAGCAGGAAGAAAAGCTCTTCCAACAGAGCAGGAGCAGAAACTAAGTACAGCTTTAAATAACAGCTGATTTTTTAAAAAAAAGGTATATGTGTATGTGTTTTGAATGAATAATATATTTGGAGGTCTCCATATCAATTTCCAGCTATTAGGGGGAAAGGAGGGTTTCCACTTTCTTTATAGACTCGGTGTGTCAAATGGAATGCATAAACAGAACATGCAGAACGCATTTCTGGCTGTAGCTCAAGTGGCAAGGAAGCCACAGTGACCAATGAATGCTTTATTCTGGGAGCTTGAATCTTGGCATCCCCGTGAAGCTTGCTTGAGCTGCGAGGCACTGCACTCTGTCTGCGCTGGTGTGCCGAGGCTGGTTCGGTGGTAGCTGGGCAAACAGCCCTCTCCCGTTCTCTGTTTGGCTAGTTGCATTAGGATGGCCATAAAACAATAATCCCCCCTTTCGATACGGTTCCCAAGCACATTCCCGGTGGCTCTGGCAGCCTCCCCCGGCTCTCTTCCACACCACCACTGAAACAGGCACCTCCATTGCCAGTCCTGTCCCCTTGCCTGTGTTTGCCTGAAGAATAGCTATGTTACCTCGCAACAGCAGAAAAGGTGCTTGGCTCATTGTAGCATGATCTTTTACACGAGAAAGCTTATTTTATTAGATGCAGGGCACTTGTTAAACCTGGCAAATTATGGCCAGCCCATAATTTATTGAATTGGCAAAATTGAGTAGGCCATCAAGAAGCTTATAGCAACCCCAAGATAATCATAGTTATCAAACACTGTTGGAAAACCAGTGTCTAATAGTCATAATTTTCTGTCTGCCTAACCAGTAAAACCATCCATCTGGAGACTAGAATTGAGGTGCTGGTTGGTACAGAGAGAGAAAGCAGAGATCCTGGTAATGTACCCTCCCCCCTGATGCCCAACAGTCCCCCCTTCCTTAGCTGGTAGAAGCAGTTTTGGCAGTTGTGTTGGAGTGCCCCCAGACAATTGTACGAGGGGATTTCTGTATCCATGTTGAGGCCACCTTGTCTGTTCTAGCGAAGGACTTCATGACCACCATAGCAACTGTGAGGCTGTTTCAGTACCCGGCATATGGATCTAACACATCTAGTGTGACATATGCTTAACCTAGTCTAGGTACAGAATGGATTTGTGGTGTATGTCCCATATAGAGTGTGTTGGTATTTTTTGTCACATTATCCCATGGTCATGGATGGACTGTAGCCTGGTGAGGTTTGGATTGACAGTAGCTAGCTCTACCTGCAGGGATGGAGGACCAATTAGAACTGTCTGCCCTGGAGACTTGCAGAACCCTAAGGATTCCTGACATCTCTGGAGGGTTTTCTGGTTGACATGACATACTCTCCTATTGACTCCCTGGTCTTGCTATGGAATGGCGAGAGGGAGAGGGCCTTCAGTGCGGTTGCTTCTAATTGTATTCTCCGTCACTGTACCAAATGATCAACTTCTTGCTTTTCCTGAGGTGCTTCAGCCAATGAAACAGGCAGGATGATGGCTGGAATGCAGGTGGCTCAAGTCTTGTAGCAAGACCAACTCGGGGACCAGCTTTGGTTGTTGTGGCCTGAGGATGTGAACAAGATACTTCAAGGGGTTTGCCCAGCTTCATGCCTTCTTGATCTTTTTCTGTCCTGCCTAATAAGATTGAGCTGTAGGAAATGCGGCAAGAATAGATAATGTAACACTGGTTCTATATGAACTAAACTGGCTGCCTATCTGTTACTGGGCCCAATTCAAGGCCCAATTCATCCCTTTTCCTGATGTCAACTTCTAATTTTGCAATAAGAGCACAGTCCCATAACTAATTGGGCCAGTCCTTTAATGGGGGTAGCTTAAGTGACTTCCTTTTTTTGGCAGAGTGGTTTAGAGTATTTTAAATTTTTCATGCAAACTGTTCCTGGATTTTCATAGAAACAGCAGTATATAAGATGGATGGATGAATAAGTAAGATGACATTCTTGTACAGCTATTTAGTTTTTAGTATAGGTCTGACAAACAAAGCAAGTTAATGAACGTATGTTTCTACAAAACAACCGACTTGGTGTTCTTCTTCTTTAAAATAAATTTTAAAAATACATACTTGATTGCTCTTCGGCATTTCTAGAAATGAAACACACATTTCTGAAGGCTGAGCTGACAGAAGCTGAATATAGCCAAACTCTAGACATAAATGTTCTTTCTGCTTATTCTAGATAGAGCTCCTCAACAAATATGGGCAACCTGTAAATGTTATGAACAGGTGGTAACCAGAGGTAGACTGAGATGGCAATATGTGTATATATAGCATAACCGTGGCTTGAGAGTTATAGAGGAAGGGAAGAAGATATCGTAAGAACTAAGGACAATGGGTGAGATCTAACTGTGGTCTCCTGCCAGCAGAAAGTAATTCTTCTGGTGCATCAGCATGTCTCCTTCCTTGCCTCTTTCCTGCAGACCTCATGAACCCCCAAAATACTCTGCAGTGGGTTGGGGGAGACCCTTTGTAGCAGATATACTTGATGATGTGAAGAGGAAAGAGGAGTCCTGTTACACAGGTGGAAGTTCATCTGTGCCATGTTACATATCACCCCGTTCATTTATTTAGATTTATAGTCTCCTCCGTCATGAAGGTTTATGGCAAGTAAGAAGAGCACCCTCCCAGCAAACAAAAAGCCAAAAAAAAAAGGCATTGTCTTGATAAGAGGCACTAAGTATGATTTTTCGAAGCCTCTCTTCTTGCCTCCCTTTGAACGACCACAGGCACCAGTTTCCCTTGAGCTTCCCCCCCAGCCCTTATGTACGTCTCTGCGCCTTAAGCAAACGTGCGCCGTGAAATAAAGCACAGCAGCTGCGCATCGCTCCTGCTGTACACCCCCTTTCCCTTCAGACGTAGGTACCACTGACAGATTTCTCTATTGTTTTCTCCTCAGGGCCGTCCAGGCCTGCAAAGCTGCCGGCGGCCTCCATAACTGCCTCCTCCCACCCTCACACATCGGTGATCGCAACACCACCTCTCCACCGTGCTCTGACCTCATTCCCGCCCTGCCTAAGCCTGCCCTGCTGCGGGGAGCGCGCAGTCTCAGTTGGCGGGTCTCAGACTGAGACTGGCACATTTGGATGTCATTGTCAGTTGTCAGGTAACAGAAAACGCTTTTATTGTCGCTATGTGAAGGTCAGCTGCCAACGCAATGTCCTCTTTAGTTATGGGAGCGCCAGTTCCATTTGGATGTGTAAGGACACGGGTAGCAACACACTGTATGAAAACAACTCTTGGCCATTTCTATGGCAGGAGTTAAAATTCAGTTGTAATTTTTATTTGGGGGGGGGGGCTGGGGTCTAGCCGACCTCAGACGTTGCCACAGCTCTGTTGTTGCTGGTTTGTTTATGTCAAGTTGGGAACTAACGTCTTGAGAATCCTCACACAAATGTGATACTCCGACACCAAGATTTTATCTCTCTGGGCTGTTTACTTTTAAGCTTAATTGGATAACATTTAGCATCTGAGGTCTTTCTTCCTAATGATTTGTGTTAAAGGCTTTCCTCAGATCTCAGAGGCACATGGCATACTTATGGTCCACACACTTTTTCTTCACTGCTTTTTTTTTTTAGCCTCTCATTAATTTCTTCCTTGTTTCATCAGTGCAAAGCAAAAAGAACCTGGACATAGCAGACTGTACATACTAAAAGGCTACTAAAAGACGCTCCTCAAAAGTTCAGCCTAAACCCTACAGGAATTATGGGAGACAGTAGCTGTATGTGACCTGATGAAAGCCTCTCTCTCGCAGAATACTGGAGCCTAGAGCTCATCCAAGGAACCTGGATCCTGGGAGATTCAGGACTGCTGAAAGGAAATAGTTTTAACTCTGTGCAGAGTTGGGGGGAAAGCTGTGACGTTCGTTGTCACAAAATATGGCGATGGCTACCAAGTTGAAGGGCTTTAAAAAGAGATTAAACAGATCCACAGATGATAAGACTATCAGGAGCTACTAATCATGATGGGTATATATAGTACCTCCAGAATTAGAGGCAACATGTCTCTGAATACCAGTTGCTAGGGCATAACAGCAGGGAAGTGCTATTGCCTTGAATATTCAAGGTACGTTTGGTTGGCATTTCCTCAGTTCCCGAGGAAAAGTTGCCACTGCGGTAGATTCCTCCATTCTTCAACAATTTCACAAAATGGGTCAGATCTTAGAGTAACTTCTGAGTAGACTGTGAATTCCATTGCATCTTAACCATCTTTTTCTGTAGCTCGTAATAGTGGCTGTTTATACCAGTGCTGGAGAGCTTGCTCCAGTAGAGTCTTTCCAGATGATCAGGGTTTTTTAAATTTTATTTTAATGAATTATTTTTTCTTTACAATTGTTCACAGTATAAACAATAACAAAACAATACCCCATCTCACCCACAACTTTTCCCATGTGCTAATGAGAAGCGTATAACCAAAAGAGGGAAAGGAATAAGAAGCAATAAAGTGTGTATGAAGAGGCAGAAAAAAAGAAAGGAGATAAAGAAGGAGAGATGAAGAGAGAAAGGACTAAGAGGTAGGGCAGTGGAGAACAAATGGGGTGGAAGTACATGAGATTTAGTACAGAAGCAAATCCAGAAAATTCTGGGTTTTGTTTTTTTAAAAAGTAATTTTCAGGAGTCTCTGATTATGAGACATTGTCCTACTGCAGTAAATTCTCATTTGTTGTGTTCAGTCCAGACACATTCATTAAGATGCTTATTTTTCTATACATTCTATATCTTTATATAGGACATGACACTTTGCAATGTATAAAAGGAGAAGTCCCTGCATTGTGGAATTTACAATCTAAAACTTCTGTTGGATTGTATTTTCCCATTTTGTACCTGGGAAAAGTCTAGTCTTCCTTCAGGTAGTATTTCAGTTATGTTGGTTGTTTTCCTGGGGAAGGTTGTTGTCTGTCTAAGTTACATTGTGATACATATCCATGAAAGATAAGTCATATGAGTGGCGTGAATTCTGCTCCACATATGAGAAGTTGTGTGGTGCATGTTTGGTTGGGTCAAAAGTGATGATGAAGCTAGCTCTCTGGTTTGAACCCATCCCTCGTTTGAAGGCTTATTTTCACCAGTCCGATGGGATACTGACAAACTGGATGTGACTTCATAGTGTGTGCATAAAATACCTTCATAAAATACACAATAACTTTCGCACAAATTTCCACCTTTTTAACATATGAATCCATGCTTCTGCTGTTTTATTATGTCATCACTGTGCATGGAACTTTAGAATAATAATCCAAAGACAACCCTTCATCAAGGAGCTTACAGTCCAAATCAAACCAAATTCAATAATAATAATAATAATAATAATTTTTATTATTATTTATACCCCACCCATCTGGTTTGGTTTTGCTAGGCGCTCTGGGCGGCTTCCAGCAAAATATAAAAAATAACAAAATGTTAAACATTAAAAACTTCCCGATACAGAGCTGCCTTCAGATCTCTTCAAAAAGCCAGAGAGTTCGTTATTTCCTTGACATCTGATGGGAGGGCGTTCCACAGGGAGTGCGCCACTGCCGAGAAGGCCCCCTGCCTGGTTCCCTGTAATTTCACTTCTTGCAGTGAGGGAAGGCCCTTGGAGCTGGACCTCAGTGTCTGGGTAGAACGATGGGGGTGGAGATGCTCCTTCAAGTATACTGGGCCAAGGACCAGTAACTGAATAGGTGGAGGAGAGGGAGGCAGAGTTAATAATAAATGAATACGAACCAGTGCATTCAAGCTACAAGAAAGGGTATTCCCACTAAACATCAGGATGAACTTTCTGACAGTAAGAACTGTTTGACAGTGGAATGGACTCCCTTGGGAGGTTGTGGACTCTCCTTCCTTGGAAGCTTTGAAGCAGAGGTTGGATGGCCATCTGTCATTGATGCTTTAGTTGAGATTCCTGCATTGCAGGGGGTTGAACTAGCATGGTAAGAACAATACTTGAAGAGCTTTCGACTCCCTTCACTTGCTTCTTCCTCCCCTCTCCTCTAGTGCAGCCAGTTCAGAAGCTTTTGCTACTGGTTTGCGCTAAGCACAGTTTAGTGGCTTCAAGCCAGTTGCGTAATCCATACCTCAAGGTTGTTTGTTTCAGACAGTGCCTAGTTAAGATTAAGTACAGTTTGTCACGGCTGGACATAACAAGCCGTGGTTAATGTAAACCTGAAGCAAAAGCTTATGCATTCCTCCTTGTGGCCATGGTGAAGAGGGAATGCAGGGTCTGAGACTTGGCATCATAATACTAAGACACAGTTTAGTGTGTCCAGACTGGGTCATTATGAAAAAGAGATAGTAGATAAAGTGAAGGGGTGTAGATCTTTAACACAATGAATTTATGTTACTGCAAAGGGGAATGGGAGGGGTTACAGTTCAGTGGTAGAGCATCCAGAAGATTTATTCTATTGCAATTTATTGTAAAATAAATAAACCTGCTGTCCCGGCTTCAACGGTGATGCTTTAAAGCAGCTCACAAAACAAAATAACAACGATCCAGTAATGAAAAACTAATAAATTAAAACAACAACAGCATTTAAGCACACCCACACCCTCCAAAGAGAGCCAGACTTTAAACACATGGTAATCTAAGCAACAGTAAAATCATAAAAACTTGGGGATGAAAAAAAGTCATCAGATGCTTTCAGAACACAAACAAAGAAGAGAGTTGCCTATATGAGGCACTGCATTGCTTCCAAACGCATCTCAGAAGGCAGTGACATGGACACGAGGAACCCATTAGTTGATCTGAAAAGATGGGAGGGTTCACATGAGAGGAAACAGCCCTTCAAGTAGCTTGGTTCCAAACCATTATGGGTTTTTGAGGTAATAGCCACCACCTTGAATAGCACTGAGAAACAGACCAGGAGCTAACACAGCTGGATTCAGTAAGGATCCGAGATCCAGTCCTTGCAGGGCCCTGACACCAGTGGTTGGCATGGTCAGGTATCTGCTGAGGACCCAAACTTCAGCAGAAGGTCCACTGTGACAAGGGCTCCTCTTCACCATGGCAACCTGCTTGATCACCTTGGCCTAGACAGTGGCGGTGGGAATAGTAAGGAGAAGGAGGAGCAACAGAAGCGACTGCCTGCTTGCTGATGGTCTCTCTTCCTAGCAAAGAAGCAGGTGATAGCAATGATGAGAAAGATGAGCAACAAGGAGGTGACTCCATGAGGGAGGCAGGCCTGTGGATGGTGTGCTGCTGAAGGGCACACAAGAACCAGGAGCCATCTCCCACTGTTCCTTCGGGCATCACAGCCAGTTGGAATACGCAGTACTATTTTATTTATTTAATGACTTGCAGGCTGTTCTTCAGGCAAAACAACAACAACAAAACTTCCCATAGTGTTGGCAAACTTTATCCACAAACAGTACCAGGATAGAGCAGTTGTCTTGAGTCCATAGGAGAGAGCTTTCTATGTTCCCATGCTCATGGTCTGAATGACGGGAGAGGTAGATGACTTTAAGTTCTGGAAACAAAGGAGTTGACTAGTGAAGGCAAGAGTTGTTTTCCATGGTTTGTAACACCCCACCCACCGACTTAGTATATGGGCCTTGCAATGATGAAGTCAACGTTTCTCCTACAGATACTTTATTCTGACAGCATTTATTTGGCATAACATAGACGTGAGGAGTCTCTCCCATATAGGAGAAGTAGCAAGCCAGTGTGCTCCCCTGTTTGCTCACTTCTTCTAAGACAAACATGCAGCAATAATGGAGAGAGTAAAACTAAGAATAGATAAGGAAAGAGTAACTCAATAAAGCACACAGAAGCAGGGGACGTATGCATTTTGCATTCCTTCACTTCCTACTCTGCCGGTCGTGCGCTGTTAGTTTTTTGGACTGATCTTATTTGCTGAACAAGTTGTGCCAGTTTTAAGTGGGGGGAATCGACCTGGTATCATGGCTTCCTGTAGTTACTGCTGTAATCTGCAGCACTTAGAGAATACGTTAATATCAAAGCACACACTAAACATTTATGACAGTAGTTGGTCAAGTTTTGTTTGAAATAAAACATCTTCTTCCCCCCACCCACCATTGGAGAGGAGGTTATTAGCCCCTTATTGTCTCATTCAGTGCAGAAAACAGAAGAAATCAGGTGACATTTGAAGCATGCTGCGGTGAAGAGGGT